ATTTAGTTTATTTAAGCCTAAAACTGGGTTGATATTTTTAAAGCTGTGGGGTGTCTAGTAGTGGTTTGACTAAGCTTCTTTTTTTTTAAGTGGAGCTATCATATGTCTTTGAGGAATCACAGACTTTTAAAAGTATGCGTTATCAAGAAGATAAGAGCCACAGCCCACAGCACTAACAATATTATCTTTTCCCAAAATTGATTAGACTGTCCTAAGTATCTCAGCTACTCTCTGAGAACCTACCCAGAATGTTGGAAATAAGGCTTCATTTTGAAGAATAGCTGCAAAAAAATGTGAACTGGGCAGAGAAATAAAGGCTTTATTTTTCTTCCAGTTCTATCTTCCAGATGAAGTAGCAATAAGAGGCTGCTCAAACAAAATGTGTGAAGGTTGTCATAGAAAGAAAAGACACAACAAGACAATATCTTCCAATATTAAAATCAGCATTAATGTCCTGAAATTGACACCTAACATATTATGAAAATCTGTATATCATTAATTTTGTTCAATTTCTATTTTGTAAGGACCACACACCAAAACCATTATCTACCCAGAGACAGTCATTTTAAAACACTGTTTATCTAGTTGTTGATATTTTTGTTGAGGTAAAAGAAATCATGAAAGAGGAACCACCACTAATTAAATGGACTCTGAATGCAGTGGGAATATGAGGGGATGATCGGTTTGTTCTTGGGTTCAAAGAAACTTCAGGAAGGAAAATATGTTTGTGCTTGATCATGCAACTTTATTAATAGGGTCTGCTAAGACAAACGTGCGGTGGGTGCTTCCTGGTTAGCAGGAGCAGTTCCCAGAACGGGATAGGTACTAAAGAGGAGACAAGGAAGGAGAGAACAAAGGCATCAGGGGAGCAGAACCCATCACTTGGCAGATGCCTCCGGACAGTCTCCTGGAGAGACTGAGGTCTCAGCACAGATGCCCCCCTTTGAGAGGTCAAAGGGGAGTGACTGCAAGATCTTGTACAAAGGGCTGACTTAGTGATAGTGGAATTTTAATAAGCTTATCCTGGCAGGGATGGAGCCTGCAATGGAAGCTGGTCAGTCACTTAGTCAGAGTTGATAAGAAAGGCAAATCTGGTAGATATGGAGAGGAAAGTACGTGAAAATATGAAGTGATTTGGAGAGAGGAGACAGAGCCGTTACCACAGACTCTGGTGGACGTTGGAGGCTAAGATGCAGAGATCTGGTGAAGTACTAAATATCTGCTATGTACTTTGCATAGCATTAACTTGTTATTGCAATTCCTATTTTTATTTACCATAACTGAAATTTGAAATGTTCAGTGTCTTCCCCTGGGTGGTATCTTGTTCCCATTGTTCTTTCACTATTCAGTATGGACCCTTCTTACATCTTCCATTCCACAATATTCCCTTTGATCCAGAGACTTGCGGAATTCACCTTATCACCCATCATTATTTTCATATTTTGTTTGATCCTTCTTCCTCAAATCATTACCCAATACCTCAACTTCTCCAAAGGCACGTGGATCAAGGGCCATGCTTCATATTTAAGCCTGAATTTCATCCTTGAAATTTTCTTCCAACTCCTAAAATATAAATAGCAACGATTCTATCATTTTGTCTATTCATGGCGTACGGACTCCATCACCTGTACACTCCAGGCCCAGGCTTATGCTGTTTGCTGCTTTATGTTTGAGTCTTCCTCATTGTCTAGAGCTTAGCAGATGTCAAGTCAGTATCTGTGCAATACATGAATGGATGAATTGATGAATGGGGGCATAAAGTAGGGAGACCCAGATTAGGCATGAATTGGAGCTTTCCTTTTACATCTCCAGTGAACCACCCATTTTAGGGCAGCCTGGTTCTAGGACTGGGATCTTCACTCAGGAGCCCCGTGTTCTTTCTGTCATTTGTGATAAAGCCAGGGAAAGAAAGTGTTAACACGGGCCATCAGAGTTGGAAAACACCTTACTAATTAGTGAGTGCTAATTCTTACTTCTAGAGGGACTTTCTAATAATTGTTATTGGACTTTTCTGGGATAAAAAAAAACTTCATTTTAGTGCATTAGTTTACATAATGCCCATTGATGTTTAAAATAATACCATCTCTGAAGTAACTTGCAAGGTTAATATAATTTCAAAAGATCAACATTTTATTTTTGTTGTTTCTTGGTACCAAATACGTTTTAATATCTTGTGCTTTGCTGTGGCTTTTTATAAACACAGTTGCAAATAAATGGTTTATTTTTAAACTACTTTGGCAACAGAAAAGAGTTCCCCCAAGCTTCAAAACAGCATCTTAGTAAGTAAAAAAGGAGACTGGACTGGTCTAATGCCAGCCACAATGGTGTTGTCTAATGACGCAGAAAAGATTGAGTTGAGAACGTGAATGGTTACTGGGTGAATTGTAATAGTGGGACTCACAATGTATTTGTGGTCTGCTTAAAATTTTAATACATACTCAACAACATCTGACAACTTAGGAGGTATTTGGATATTACTTTATGATCTAGCCTAAGTTTCTAGTTCTTATTCCATTAAAAGACAGTCTGTATTGTTAATCCACAGGTGTAGATAAGAGTCCCTATTTGACTGCGGCTGAACCCTTTACAAATGAAATATGTCAAAGGCAGAAAGACAGGATGAATTACTTTTTAAAGGGGTTTTTAAAGATTTTCATGATTCCTCTGGTGTCACATTAAAAAATGGCATGGCTTTTTATAAATGTATAGACGGAAGCAAATTTATTTGGAACTAATCCTTATGTACGAACAAAAATTCCTCATTAATTATTTAGATGAGGACATTTTTTAAAATGTAAACACTTGAAAGTTTTCAGAATTCTGTCTGAGAGAAATTAGATATTTTCTTTGTAAATTTAAAAGTTATCTTCAAAGGGTAAGTAAGTGGATACATATAAATCGATGGATTTTTTTATACTGATTTTATTTTTAGCATTAGAATAGAATGCTGGTGGAACTGGGGGCTGTGACTCAGTTGGTAAAGTTCTTGCCTTGAAAACAGGTTGCTGTCTTTGTTCTGTCTTTCATAGATTTTCCATGAGAAGCTGCTGATTCAAGTGATTAATCGAAGTTGAGGAAAAGCTTGAAAATGAGCTTGTTATTCTACTTTCTGAGGAACATAATTATACTTCCTTTGTTGTTGTTGTTGTTGTTTTGTTTTTTGTTTTTTGAGACAGGGTTTCTCTGTAGCTTTGGAGCTTGTCCTGGAACTCACTCTGTAGACCAGGCTGGCCTTAAACTCACAGAGATCTGCCTGTCTCTGATTAGAGTGCTAGGATTATAGGTATGTGCCACCACTGTCTGGCTTTTTAAAAATACATATATAAAATTTATTTTTATTTTATGTCCATTGGTGTTTTGCCTGCATATACATCTGTGTGATGTCAAACCTTGGAGTCACAGAGAGCTGTTAGCTGCCATGTGGGTGCTGGGAATTGAACTTGAGTCCTCAGGAAGAACAGTCAATGATCTTAACCGATGAGCCATTTCCCCAGCCTACTTCCATATTTTTAATAAGCTTCAGAGTTTAGCATGTAAGCCTTGGTGTTATTTACCATCAAGTCATTCTTTTTTTTGAAACTGTATTTGAAGTCACTTTCCTTGCTGCTGAGCATTATTGGTTTCTGCTCTACTCTGGGAAAAAAAAATTGAGGAGTATGTGTCTATCTTAATGTGATTAATGCTTTCACTTTTAGAACAGTTGTTCATGGGAGGGAGTAAGTGGAGAGCAGGCTACGTAAATTCAACCCCTAAGGTTAGAATGTGAAATTATTCTGAACATCCTTTTGGAGGCGCAGGTGACTTCGAATTTTGTAATGGAAACATTTTAGGCGTTGTGCGAAAATTTAGTGTAGAAAAAGTTTCTATATATTTGAGTTAGAACACAAGCAACAATCAGAACACAAAAGATAATGCCTAGTATTTAAATAATTAAAAGAGGGTGGCACAACTATTGAGAAACAGGGAAGAAATATCCCTGATCTCGGTTTGATGGGGTTGCCTTCTAAAAGTGAAGGTGGAAACTACTCCATAACATGATCCCCTACAGATATTCAGAGTACACGAGTTCCAGTTAGAATATTCCTGATTTTCACTCTGCATGGCTTTCCATCTACAGATCTCTTTATTTAAGAATCCCTCTATCCCTCATTCTTAAATCTGTTGTTGAAAAGGCTGAAAGGAAATACCAACAGGAAGCAGGAAATGATACTGATGACATAATATTTTAAAATGTTAAAAGATTTGAACCGCGTCTGACACAGCGTACTTTGAGGGTAAAACTATTGATTGAACCTCTAGTTCTTAAATGAGAATTCCTGTTAGTCTTAAGCCATGTTCAGGCCATGATCCTTGTTTGCATTTTACTCATTTATTTTTATAGTTACTTATCTATTAACCATGTATTCAGTCAATTCCTAATCCATGAAACGTATGTAATATCTTTAAATCTTGGTTCACTTCAGTGTTTCTAAAATATAAAAAACACAATCATGAACCTACTGTCGTAATATATATATGCAAGAAAAGTGGAGAAATTTACCAAAACAGTTTTTATGAAAAAGAAGCACCATCCCTTATTGTATATGTACCATTTTATCTGGAGAAACTATTAATAATTCCAGAAGATTGTCAATTGTCTTCAGATAATTGTTCTTCAAAAGAACAGATGCAAGAATTCTACTTGTCACTTACTCTCCAAAGTCTCCTTTCTATTTTAACGTTCGATCAATGCTTTTCAAGGAAATGTTGCTTTGGAAGGATGATATCCGTAGACAATGAGTGTGGAAAGTGCAGGAAAAAATCTGGACTGAATTTGAATACAGTTATAAAAACAAATGTTCTTTTTTTTTTAAAATGGTCAGTTGGTTTTCAGGGAAGTGTAATTAATTTTCGCTCTATGAATCCTGCAAACATCGGATGTGGAGAGCAAACGCAGAGCAGGTGCTATCGCTAGGATGTGTGTGCGAGCGTTCTAACGTCCCCTGTTCTCACCTCTGCAGGCGAGCTGGAAACCTTTCAGAGAGATGGGGAACGAAAAATTCAGAGTCGGCAGCAACTTCCAGTGGGAACAACCTGGGGCCCCTTTGCTGGGAAGATGGACCTGAATAATAACTCCTTGGTATGTGGACCTTCTAAGATGCTTGCCTATTCTTTGTCAGGTTTTATCTCTGTTTGTTTACTCGTTAAATTGAAAAAATACGTCGGGTCTGTTTTTTTTGACAATTTTATGGAGTTCCAAACAATTTCCCAATGATTTGTCTCTACTATAAGAATAATCCCAAAAGGAAGAGTTTACTCATAGCAAATGGTTGGCTAGTGAGGTAACTTATCAGCTCCCTGCTGCATCTGCCGAGCCAGGCTTCATTTTTATTTTAAAAAAAGTACTTGAAATCACCTTTCTTTTTCCAGATGACACAAATTAAACACCATACATTGTAGGTGTGCACAACAAATAAGAAATAAACAACTTTGCTATCCTTCCAAGTGTTGCCTGTAACTGTAAGGGCAAGGTTGAGTGATCAGCATTGCAAGTTGTGTTTAACCTTTTCATAGAAGTTTTGAGGCCAAGAAAGTTTTGAGGCTTGATGTTGTGTGGGTACCTGATTTCTCAAGACACTGAAAGACAGAAAGCAGAAGGTAGACTTTCCCGACTCCCGTTTCGCCTGTATTCCTACCTGCTCTCCAGCGCTGTGTAACAGTCATTTGAGAATTAAGATATTGATCATATTTAAAACTGCCATCAGACACCACCTCAAACTGTTGTCATTTCTCCAATGTTCTGTCAATAGCTTTCAGTTTCTCTCATTGAAATGACACCAATAGTTCATTTATGAAATAGTGACATTTTCCCATTTGTTATAGCAAAATATCTATATTAAAATGCAACATTTTATTTTACCAACCTTTATATCACTGTGTGTGTACATCCTATACCACAGGATGGTAGTTTTGTGACATTTTACCACCTGTTAAATTGTGATGTATGGAAAATAAACCTATTTGTGAAGGTTTTACTTCTCATTCCTCCTTAGAGGGCATTACTTTATGTTTTTAATACTCCTCTACCATTCCATAAAAATAAGCCATTTATGGTATATTTGATATTTTAAATTATTCAGTCTATATATTTGAAGTGTTCAATATTCTTGCTCCTATGTGAGGCATATGAATCCTCTATGGGACTAGACTGGCTGTGATTAATAATTCTTTATATGAATACCTTATGCCTCAGTTTACTCCTTTTAGAGTCTAAATCTTTAATTACGTGCTCTTTTAGAAGCAACATGTTTTATTATAAATTGTAGATTTTCACTACAGTACACGTTGAAAATATTTTTACTTTGAAAGCATTTTCTCTTTTAGAACTTAATCTGATTTTACATCATTAAATGCAACCTGTACTATTACATATAGCATGTAATAATAGTATGCTGATACATACTATTTGCATACATACATATGCATAGTTTGTACTAGTGTATAATGAATGCTTACTTATTTCTAGACTAGAATGTTTAACTTTGGGAATTGATTATTTCATTTACCTCTGTAACAAATCTGTAAATCTACTGTATTTCAATTTTTGGTTTCATAGATGAGAAGACAAAAGCTCTGGCTATTGATTTCAGAACTTTTAAGACTTCTCACACTGCCTCTTCAGTAGAATATTTATATTATATTATATTATATTTTAACATGATAATGATTTTTACATAGATGCCAAATTTATTTAAAAAAAAGAAAATAAGCAGTAATAGTTTGTTGATTTGTTTTTCTTGCTTCATCGTGGGCAGAATGTTGCTTATGGTGTAGTTTGTAATTAGTCAAATATTTGTGCAATTTTATTGCATATTTAGATTTTGGACAGTAATTCAATATGTGTTTTTAATGACATGAAGACAAAAATTTCCTTATCCTTAGTATAGCTTACTAACCCTTTCTTGCCCATCTTTGATCCAAATTTGAGTTAGAACACTCATTGGAATTACTTGTTTGCCAACTGATGAAATGTTACTCAGACTCACGGTGTTGGCTCAGGAGATTCAGCACACTAATTAATCCAACATAGTAATTAATTGAGTCACCATGCCAGATGTCAAATCCTCTTGATATCTTTCAAGTCTCCATCTTGAAGTACATTAATAATATGCCACCTTCTGTGGGAAGCCTTTGCAAACCAGGCATTTGTATGTATAGAGAATATTCCAAGAAACATACTCCTCTGTAAAGAAAAATTTAAAAAACTGTTTAGCCAAGAAGTTATTCCTGGAATAGCATAATTCACTGAATGTATAAGTAGATGTTTGCTTCCCAACAGCTTCTTACCTTGGTAGATGCTTCACACTGGAAAGGTTTGACAATAGCAACAGCAACAAAGTCAATGAGTGCATTGGGCCAGGTCACTTTCCATGTGAGAAAACAGATAGCTCTTTAGGAAAGTATTGCAGAGGAGAAGACCGACACTTCAGGTAATTAAAAAATTAGCTCCTGAGCAATTATTTGATATTAAAACCTGTGTTGTAATCTCAGAAATATTGTCTGTAATGTAGGAACAATCATACTTGGTTTATAAGGAGTCTGAGGCTAAGTGAGGATGCATGCCTGAATTGGCCACAGATATTAGCCCCTGTTACTAGTCTGTCATCTACACAAATGATCTATTGCCACTGGCACATTAAAAGTTTCAGAGATACCCGACCCAGACTAAATGTATAAGACTGTTGACTTTGGTGTTTAGGGACATTGCATGTGAAGATTTAACTCTTTGTCAGGTGATTGCTATTTTTCATAGAAACAGAACCAATAGCATGTGTCTGAACACAGAGATTTACTGTAGCATTTGGATCAAGCAAGAAGGGGATTTTGCAATCCAAAGTTGTTATTGTGAGCTGGTAACTTGAGACCCAGAAGTGTCCAAAGTCTGTAGTTTCCTTGCGACCAGAGGAACCAATCTACTTGTTGAATTTAGACTTTCAATTTGTTGAATAAAGCCTACCTGTACTATGGGATGTTATTTGCTTTGTTAAAGGCTGATTAATTTAAATACTAATTCTGGTTAAAAACATCCTCTGAGTTAACATATAAAATGAACAATCCCAGGTTCTGGAAGTCTATGAGAGCTTGTGAGTGTCCATTTTCTGGTTTGTAACAAATAAATGAAAAATGAGACACAGAAGAAAAAAGAACTAAGTTTGAAAGTAGTATTCAAATAAATTTTGAGACTCTAGAGGACAGAAATTTATTGAAACTTTATTATTCCATTTGGATCTCTACCATTGGTATATACTAAACAATCAATAAATGTTTTTAAAAGTCAAAATCTAATACAATGGAATGAACTTGGCGGGGACTTTCTCCTGATTCCCACTGGTGCCCTCCCAGCCTTGCCATGTCAATGATAGAGTTGATAATTCTGCTGAGGCAATGCTTTCTGCCGTGTCTCAGGCTTTTCTTTCCTGATGTTGACATTGGGAGGGATATCTTTCTTTTTAATACTCATTTTCATCAAAGCTCAGCGTTGCTATACTTTCTTCTTCTCTTGGAGCCTTGGTTCATTTTAATTTAACTGTGCTTGTTTCCCCAAAACACTTCTGGCCTTTCTTCTCTTCTCCCTCCGTTCCCTTTCTTCTCTTCTTCCTCCTTGGGGAGCTTATCCACTTGCAAAGCTTTAGCTACTAATTTACAAATGACGTTTAAACAAAAATCTCTAACCTTGCCTTTTCTCACTTTATCAAACATAGCGTATTTCCACGACCTGAAGTACCTTTCCTACTAGTCTTTCCCGCTAACTTCCTCCAGCTCAGTGGTTATGAGGGAGTGGGAGAGTTCCTTCTGCCTTTAAAGACACTCTTCCGACCTTCTCTTTGTGCCCCCTTTCCTGTCTCTGCAGGGGAGTTCATCACTTTACTCCACGGTTCCTCTCCCATCTCAAACGCTTGGCCTAATTCACTCAGGAGTCAGTTCTCCGCGCGCGCAGTGTTCTCCGTTTCACGTCCTCCTTCCAGATCTCCGTTCTTTTCTTCCTGGTCCTGTATCAGGGCTATAGATTGTACCTCCAGCACAGGCCCTTTGATCATCACCGTATTCTTTCAGTCGCGCTTCCTGCCTTCTTTCTCATCTCTTAAAATCTAGTGCGCCCTAAAACACAGTGGCCCCTCACTCTAGTGCTTCAGATCCTAGTGTGTACAAAAGAAGTCAAACTGGCAACGCCTAAGCAGGTCCTCCTCGTTTTCCGTTACTTTTTCTGCTTTTCTCCATAGAGACTCCGGTTCTTGGAGGCTTCCTGCATGGTTCTGCCTGGATAAATAGTGTCTCCTGCGTCGATCCATCTGGAGGTCCTTTCTTAACACAGTTGAAATCCTTTCTTTCCTGCCTCCCTTCTTTGCTCTCCTTCCAATTTTACTTTCTCTATTCAAGGTTGCCTCTGACCGAAACTTTCCCCGAATTCTCTGTGCTGAAATAGATAAACTCTTTCGAGGGTTTCCAATTTGTACCTAGGATTGGGGTACTTTCCACATTATCTGCCCTCTCACCGGGCTCCTTATCTGATTTTTATTTTATACCTGCGTCAATCTATAATAAGGGACGCAAACAGACAGACAGAGTCTTGAATCCTTTCTTTCTCCTTAGAAGCGGGGAACTGTGGGCCCGTCCCCTTATTCAGGAGAGCACGTCCCATTTCAGATTGTACACCCATTTCTGTATCTGCTGTTGTCCTGCTTCCTCTGCCCGGCATAGCAGTAGAGTTACCACCGCGAGTGTGCTCTTTTGCCGTTTTCGTTCATGCGGCTATTTTGAATTTTAAGTTCATTTTTGTGAAAATTTCCATGGAACAAGGTGACTCTATCTACCTCCTAAGTTTGCACCTGGTACGGAATGCGCTCCTGGTGATGTCTTGATAGATGGAGATGAACCTCAGTGTAGTACCTAACAACCCTTTGAGACAGGAAGGAGCTGCTGGGCCATTGAGCCATTAAGATTTATTTAGAAAAGAATCAGTCTTATCCCTCACTATGACATGGGTGCAGGCCAAGAAGGTATTCTGTTCCACCATGCTTTCTGTGAAGTCACATCCAGCCTCTCACTTTCCAGTGACAAACCATCTGGGAAATT